GAAAGGATCCACGGCCACTGGGCAGCCAGGAAGCAATTCGCCTGGGCACAGATGAGGCTTGTGAGAGCCGCGGCTGGTGTCAAGTGAGTGGGCTTGCCACCAAGCCGGGGCAGTAGTAGGAGTGAGCATTTTCTGTGTGGAGACAGCCACGAGAATGTGGTCACCTGCCCAGGCCCACCCAGGCTGAGGTCATCAAGGCCTCATCAGGCCTTCTGGGCATGTGGTTAGAGCAGAACACTGGCCGCCAGCGCTGGGGGTCACTTGTGCCTACACCGTCCTTACAGCGCCCTCTACTGGGGATGCTCCTCCTGCTTGCTGCTGGGCTCTCAGGGAAGGGGGCTGATGGAGCTGAGGCATTGGGGTAACTGGCATGGCCCACCTTTTGGCTGCCCATCTTCCATAAGCACCCTTCAGCACCCGTTGGAACTCCTTTACTACCCAATAGTTGTTTCCCCTGAACAAGCTGCTGCTCTTAAAAGGATTCTTGCCAGTGGAGAAGCTGTGCAAGCTTCACAGTCGCTTCTCAGAGCATTGATTGCCCCTCACATTGGGTCACTGTTCCACTGACATCTAATTCCACTGAATTAGAAAGTTAACTTCTAACTGAGTGTAAAGTTAAAATGGGCAGCAACGAGAAGATAATGGCTAACATATACATAAAAACATACGTGTGACAGACGTGGAGGAATTACCCAGGGCGATTACAGTCTTCATTTCTGTGATTGATCACAAGTCATAGATGAGACCACAGCTTCTTCAACTCCCCATCCTCAGTAACCCTGCTGGGGCCTGGCGTGGTAGCCTAGCGGCTAAAGTCCTCACCTGGCGTGCACTGGGATCCCATATGAGTGCCGGATCATGTCCTGGTTCAGGTGTTGCAACCATTTGGGGAGTGAACCCATGGATGGAAGATCTCTCTGTCTCTCCTTCTCTGTAAATCTGACTTTCTAATAAAGATAATTAAATCTTAAAAAAATAGTCCTACCATCAGGCAGCTCCCCCACTGCTGTGGGTCTTTGTAACTGGTGGATGACCCAAGCCTTGGTTACTCAGTTATTCCGCTTTTTGTTGTTTAGCCGCTGAGGTTCTCACTGGCCTTTACTTTCGTGCAGGCGTGGAAATATCCGGTGGTGCCCTCGGGGGCCTTCCTGGCTTCCACACATGCCCCTCACCTCTGTCATGTGGCAGTAATTCTATTTTCCCTTTGTAGTCAGCCAGTGGTTGGCCCCGATTTTTAACCCTGTTGGTTTAGTGGCATGAGGAGCCCAGCAAGGTAAAGTGGCACTCTTAGGTTCCAAGTCAGTGAGTCCAGTGTCTCCTCTCCTAGGGGAAACCTCTTCACCTGCCAGACCAAACTCTTCAAGCCGACGGATCTCAAAGTGACTGGGATCGGAAGTAACCCTTTTTGTGAGATGGTTACTCCATGGAATAGGGTGGGGAGCCCACCCCACTTGCAGCCATGGACCCCAGGTCCCATATACTATAACTGTGGGAGACACAACACCATATAATGGCCCTTGTAAGACAATGCTCCATCCCAGGGGGTTATCTCCCACCTGGTAATTTCAGTTTAGCCCTTGGGTGGGTGCTGGTGAGTGCCTGGAGTACATGATGAGGATGGTGGATTCTGTGGCCTTAGGTTTACATTGGTACCTTCTCTCTCTCTCTTTTTTTTTTAAGATTTATTTATTTTTTAAATTTATTTTTAATTGTAAAATCAGGTATATGGAGAGGAGAGACAAAGATCCTCCATCCGATGATTCACTCCCTAAGCAGCCGCAACAGCCAGAGCTGAACTGATCTGAAGCCAGGAGCCAGGAGCTCTTCTGGGTCTCCCACACGGGCGCAGGTCCCAAGGCTTTGGGCCATCCTCGACTGCTTTTCCAGGCTGCAAACAGGGAGCTGGAAGGGAAGCAGGGCTGCCAGATTAGAAACGGTGCCCATATGGGATCCCAGCACAATCAAGGCAAGGACTTTAGCTACTAGACTACCAGGCCCCCAGATGCATAAAGTCTATTAGAAACTTGCCCCTTAATTTTTTAGGGGTGCGGGTGGGGAAGAAATACAAATCTCTTTGTCCTGCCTAACAGAGGCTGCCCAATATAATCAGCCCGGCCCCTGAGGGATGGCACTGAACTGAAGCCATGTGTTGGTCTCTGCTGTTGGCACATGAAGTACCTGCAACATTGGCCAGGTCATCCTTGGAAGGGGGGGCCTCCAAGGCATCTGTGCCAAGGGAGATGTTGCTGAGGTTTTCCAGCCAAGGCAGACCAGTGTCCTCAGAGACAGGAAGGCAAGCTGTTTTCCCTGGGAGGAGGCTCAGAATGATGTGAGGCCACTCTCAGTGTCACCCAGGTCTAACTGGATCTGCCTGCCACGTTTCAGGATCGCGTTGTTTCCTTTTCAGTAACTTCTCTTTTATATGAGAAATGGCATGTCCGTGAATTCAGCTGTCGCAGTTCAACATCCCGCACCCTTAAACTTTGAATTTTCAGCAGTAGCAGCTGTGAGTTTAGGGCCTATGAAATCCTCTTTGGGATGTTAGAGAAGCTTTCTGCTTCTCAGCGTATGGCAGCTGAAAGTTACGGGACCTGAACTCATTACTTTCTCTTAAATATGTAAATACATTCAGAATTGTCTCCCTGGAGCAGGCACTGCTTGCGACACGTGCATCCTGTATCAGAGCTGGTTAGAGTTCTAGCTGCTCCACTTCCACTCCAGCTTCCTGCGAGTGCATCCTCATGGATGGTGGTTCAAGTGCTGGGGCCCTTGCTGTCCGTGCAGGAGCTCCAGGTGGAGTCCCGCGTTCCTGGCTTTGACCTTTCCAACTCTGCTTGTTGAGGGCATTTGGGGAGAACGCCTTCCCTCTCCCTATCCCACCTCCCTCCTTTCAGTCATGTGAACTTTTAAAGAAAAAGAGAAACAGCCCACCTCATACCAGAGTCCTTGTCGTCCCAACTGCCTTGGAGTTGAATGTAAAAGTCACTCCCAGAGACACTTCATCACAGTAAACTGCAGTCTGATACATTGTGATGCTACCGCATCCAGACTCACTGGCAGCTCTCCTTGTGCAGAGAACGCAACACCAAACCAGTTCCCGCATTCCGTCTGCCGGGGGCCATCACTGGGAACTGCCCTCTGTTCCTCGGCCGAGCCTGGATCTACTCCACAGACTTCAAATGGGAAAGTCAATGTAAAGAATTCCTGTGATGAAAGAGCATAAGCCATAAGCAAATTCCAAAGATAGCCCCAGGAGGAGGGAGAATATTGAAGAATGACAGACTTGGGAGGGGCCTCTCCCTAAACTGAGATTCAGAGCTCATTGGAGACTGGTTGCAGCTCACTGGACAGCAGAAAAGGTGGCCAGTTTGCCCAGGCCAGAATTGGTCTACATAGGACAGTATTGGTCACATAGGAAGCTGCAGTTGGTAGCCCCAGGATGTGGGTGTGCAGTGGAAGTGCAGTCTGTGGCAGGCAGAAGACTGAAACATTTGCTGTCTGTCAGGCAAATCGCAACCTGTGACTGGGTGAATGGAGTGGCAGAGGAAGTCAGCGGGAACAGACTCAGCTGCAGGCGGGTTGCAGCCTGTGGCCAGACGTCTGGACGTGTGGAGGAAGTGGGGTCCTGTGTGGGCAGGAAGCCTGGAATGCCAGAGCTGTGCAGAGCCTGAGTTATCTAGCCAGGGCCCTCCAGGCACGTGGCTGAGGCTTAGCCCCACCAGCCTTCCACCTTCCCTGGGACAGGAGGACTCCTTCGCCTCGGGAGTGTCCCTCCAGCGCCCTCTGCCGAGAACACTCTACATCACACCCACTGCAAAGGAACTTAGAGGGGGTGATGTTAAAGAGTTAGCACAGGACACGTACTGATTGTAGGTGAATTTAGAACATTTGCATAGCCTTTACTGATTGAAATACCTAATGTGTAAATCCTAAATCCAAGGTGCACCAAAGACAATTCAGGATAGTCCAGAAGTTTTGGATTTCAGATTTCAGATTTGGGATGTTTCTGCTATAGTAATAATCTTGTTCTTTCCCCCAAAATAAGCTTTATTCCTTTTTTTTCAAAAATATTTTTTTGTAGAACCAAAATAATTGTGTATCAAGTAGAAGGTGACGGTGGGCATCTTCCTAACCTTCAGCGAGAAGGAACTACAGGCTGCAGCACTGTCCTTAAACACTGTCGTGGCTTCCTAGCATCATGCCCGCTCCTCTGTGCCTTCTGCTGCCCCCTTTCCCCTGGCTTTGAAACATCAGATGATGCCATGCCTCATGCCCCCTCTTCTGTCTTCCTTCGTGGTCCATGTGCGTCCCCGATGGCTTGCCTCACACCATCTCCTCCGACTTCCCTTGTGGTCCAGGTGTGTCTGACAGCATGCCTCACACCATGTCCTCCGTCTTCCCTTGTGGTCCATGTGCGTCCCTGACGGCATGCCTCACACCATCTCTATCTTCCCTCATGTCCCGGGCACGTCTCCGACACAGTCACCTTGAGCCTGCTGCTGATTCCCCCCAACCCCTTGTAAGTCAGGCCTCCACAGTTGGGCGCCTCATGGGAAGAGCCTCTCTAACTCAGCACCTCCAAAACTCAGCTGGACTCATGGCTGTAAAGACCACAGCCCGATTGGTGGTTAAGAAAGGCTCCTGTCCCAGAGAGGCACATTCTGAGGGTCTTCACTTTGGCTAATGCTGGCCCAAGGCAGCCAGCCCACCTTAGTTTTCTCTCAGTTGGTGCCTTGAATGTTGGCCGCACAGCCTGCCTTCCTCAGGAGCTCATGTACATCTGAGACACCAACCTCAGAAACCACAGCCTTTCCTGACAACCAGTTTGTTCCCTCACCTGCTGACTCTAGGCACCTATGGGAGCCCCTGGCCCAGAGGCCTCCTGCCTTCCTCCCTGATCCTGCTTCACCACTGCCCCCTGGAAGACAAGCAGGCGCTTTAGGAATTCGGCTGGGGCTCAGGGCACCAGGGCTGATCTCTGCTTGTCTCTGTGTGGGCAGGAAGTATGAGCTGTACAGCATGGACTGGGACCTGAAGGAGGAACTCAGGGACTGCCTGGTGGCTGCCGCACCCTATGGGGGTCCCATTGGTAGGTTACTGACTGCTAGTGCATGCTATGGGACAGTGGGATGAGGCTATTGCCCTCGATTTCTTGGGGCGGGGGCTGCCTGTCAGGTGCTACTTGCTGCCAGTCCCGTGCCCCCAGTGGTTCTCATGAACCCTTCCTCATGTGGCATGGGCCTGAACAGGTAGTCTGTGAGGCCAGACCCAAGTGGCACACGGTGTTCTGGCTGAGGGCCCTAGTCTACCAACACATGAGGTGGTCCTAGGGGTGTTGGACAACAGGCCTGTTCTCAAACCGCAGCACTGCTCAGGAACCCCTGGCGGAAGGAGAAGGCTGCCAGCGTGCGGCCAGTGCTGGATATCTACTCTGCTTCGGGCATGCCTCTGGCCAGCCTGCTGGTGAGCATCTCGGCTGGCCTGGGGACTGGGCACTGGGCACGGCCCCTTTGGACAGAGCATGGTCTCAGGCACCTGTCTTTGCAGTGGAAGAGCGGGCCCGTGGTGGCCCTGGGCTGGTCAGCGGAGGAGGAGCTACTGTGCGTGCAGGAAGATGGTGCAGTGCTTGTCTATGGGCTCCACGGCGACTTCCGGAGACACTTCAGCATGGGCAACGTGAGGACCCCCAGCACCTGGGAAGGGAGGTAGAATTTCAGACCGTGTGGCTCCCTTGACCCATGCATGGCCTTTCTCCCCAGGAGGTACTCCAGAACCGAGTTCTGGATGCCCGAATCTTTCATACTGAGTTTGGTTCCGGGGTGGCCATCCTCACAGGGGCCTACCGCTTCACACTTAGTGCCAACGTGGGTGACCTCAAGCTCCGCCGGATGCCCGAGGTGCCTGGTGAGCTGACTGACTAAGATAGCCACTTTGTGTGTGGCCTCAGACTGTGGCGCTAATGGAGGTCCTGAGGTTATTTCCTCCCCACTCCCAGGTTTGCAGAGTGCACCCTCCTGCTGGACCACACTGTGCCAGGACCGGGTGGCACACATTCTTCTGGCCGTGGGGCCTGATCTTTACCTTCTGGACCATGCCACCTGCTCCACCGTGGTGAGTGGGAATGAAGTAGAGGGGTAGGGGCAAGCAGTGGGAAGACTCTGAGAAGTCTCTGTAACTGTGGTCCTGCCTGCCTCCATCCGCCCCAGACGCCCCCTGGCCTGGCCCCTGGCGTGAGCAGCTTCCTGCAGATGGCCGTCTCCTTCACCTACCGACACCTGGCGCTTTTCACAGACACGGGCTACATCTGGATGGGGACCACATCACTTAAGGTATGAACCTGGGACCACTTGGGGCACCATACCTTGTTTGGGGAAGGTCTGTGGGAGGAGGCAGGGGACTGTTTCCTCAGATCTCATGACTCCTGGGCCAGCACCATGACGCCCCTGTACCCTTTCAGGAGAAGCTGTGCGAGTTCAACTGCAACATCAGGGCTCCCCCGAAGCAGATGGTCTGGTAAGACACGCGGTTGTGGTGCCAGGGGTGGGGCACCACATGCATGCAGCCTTGTTTCCTGGGAAACCCTGGTTTGTCCTGACTCCTGCCTTGGCTCTTGCCTCCTCTGCCAGTACCTGCTTGGCCTATATGGGCCACAGCCGCCCTTGAGTGGTCTGGCTGCAGCTGGAGGAAAGAAGCAGACAGGTCGGTATGTGGTCAGAGGAATGGACTGCAGGGCTGTTCCAAGGCCTAGGGATGTCAGTGGTGATGTGAAACACAGGCCTACGGGTCTCAAATGTGTGCTGCTGCCTGCAGGTGCAGCCGTCCTCGTAGCAAGGAGAGGGCCGTCGTGGTGGCCTGGGAGAAGCGGCTGATGGTAGTGGGTGATGCACCTGAGAGCATCCAGTATCCTTGGAAGCAACTTGTGGGGTGTGCAGTGGGACGGACGGAGGGGGTGGGGTTTGTTACTTGCCCTGCTCCACCTCTGGGTGCTCGTAATAGCCTTGACTCAGGCTCAGGTTCGTGCTAGATGAGGACTCTTACCTGGTGCCCGAGCTCGATGGGGTCCGCATCTTCTCCCGCAGCACCCACGAGTTCCTACATGAGGTTCCAGGTAACACAGGTTCCTGGGCACATAGGATCCAGCTGCTCTGGGCCTGTGCCCTAGGGCAGGGGTAGGAAGTTGTGGCTGGATTGAGGGCTTCTCTGCTCCCACCCCCCATCACTAACTCCCTCCACACAGTGGCCAGTGAAGAGATCTTCAAAATTGCCTCGATGGCTCCTGGAGCTCTGCTGTTGGAGGCCCAGAAGGAATATGAGGTAAAACCCTAGGCCTTTCTTCCCCTTCCCCTTCCCCTTCCCTACCTGCCTACTCCCTGTCCCTGTGTGTGTGGGCACAGCCATCTGTCAGGAAGAGCGGTCAGGACTGACAAGACACTGGGATGGACTGGTGGGAGATGGCTCCGCTGGACAGAAGTGATTGGAATGTCCTTCATCTGGTGTCGGGAAGGGGCAGAGCGTCCTCATTGTCCCCAGCCAGTCACAAGACAAGTCAATGCTGTAGCTGGGAGTACTAAAGACCCTCCTCCCAGGCAGTGTGGGCTAAGGTGCAGTGGTCACCTTAGCTGGATCAGGCGGGCTAGGAAAGATTTGGGTCCCTGTCTGTGTAGCCTGTCTAAGCCATCCCTGAGGAGCTAGGGGCCAGGCGCTGGAATGGGCTCCACTCGGTCCTAACACTGCATTCCTGGCCCTTTCCCTTAGAAAGAAAGCCAAAAGGCGGACGAATACCTGCGGGAGATCCAGGAGCTGGGGGAGCTGACTCAGGCAGTGCAGCAGTGCATCGAGGCTGCAGGGCACGAGCACCGTCCAGACATGCAGAAGAGCCTGCTCAGGGTTGGCCTGGAGGGCAGGGCTGCAGGGTGTCGGAGAAAGGGTGTGATGAACACGGGGCAAACATCCATTGCCCTCTGGCTTCTTGTAGGCAGCCTCCTTTGGAAAATGTTTCCTAGACAGATTTCCACCTGACAGCTTCGTGCGCATGTGTCAGGACCTGCGAGTGCTCAATGCCGTCCGTGATTACCACATTGGGATTCCTCTCACCTACAGCCAGTATCCTCATGCATGACTGGAGGGTACTGACAGCCAGGAATGGCAGGGGAGGGGGCTGCAAGACCTCGGCACAAAGGGCTAGTGTCCAAGCTGGATCCTTAACCAAAGAAAATCCAGATATAAGCAGCTTACTATCCAGGTGCTGTTGGACAGGTACAGCAAGCCTGGGGATGCTGTAAGGAGGCCCATGGGTGGGCCGGCAGTATGCCTTTGGTGGGGTCAGTGGTCATCACTGCTCCTGACCTGTCTCACCTGTCTCTGGGATTTAGGAGTCCTGGGATACAGACTGGGACCACTCTGCCCACTTGCCCCGTATGCTTTTTTTTTTTAAACCCCTCTTGCCTCCCAGACTGGTGTTGCGGAGGCTTTACCCACTGGCCATCCAGATTTGCGAGTACCTGCGCCTTCCTGAAGTACAGGGTGTCAGCAGGATACTGGCCCACTGGGCCTGCTACAAGGCAAGCACAAGGGATGAAGTGCAAGGGCATGCATTGGATTCTGGGCACTAGTAAAGCATAGAAATGACATATGGAACTAAAGGGAGAGTGGGGTCTGAGCCAGGGCTTGAGGGAGTGAGAGATGGTAGCTAGGGGTGTTTATGGCACCATTCCTCCCCCAATCTGCAGGTGCAGCAGAAAGATGTGTCGGATGAAGATGTTGCTCGAGCCATTAACCAGAAGCTAGGGGACACACCTGGTGTCTCCTACTCCGACATTGCTGCGCGGGCCTATGGCTGTGGCCGCACAGAGCTGGCCATCAAGGTGTGAGCGCCCAGGCCTCCCCAGACAGACACTTATTGGCTCTTCAGGGGTGTTTGAGGGGCCCACCCTAGACCCTCCTCTTAGCCTTCTCCCTGCCCCACAGCTGCTGGAATATGAGCCCCGCTCGGGGGAGCAGGTACCCCTTCTCCTAAAGATGAAAAGGAGCAAATTGGCACTGAACAAGGCCATTGAGAGCGGGGACACTGACCTGGGTGAGTAAGGTCTAGATGAGGGCAAAGCCCGGGGCCCCTTGGCTGAGCAGGAGACTGGACTGGAGTGCCCACCCCACCTTCCTGCCCCACAGTGTTCACGGTGCTGCTGCACCTAAAGAATGAGCTGAACCGAGGAGACTTTTTCATGACCCTCCGGAACCAGCCCATGGCTCTGAGTCTGTATCGACAGGTGTGTGTAATGTGTGTGTGTGTTGGGCGGGGCGGCCAGGGAACTTCCTAAGCCCTTGGGGTAGCCTTGCTGACTGCTCACCTACTGTGTCCCAGTATTGTAAGCATCAGGAGCTAGAGACATTGAAGGACCTCTACAATCAGGATGACAATCACCAGGAACTGGGCAGCTTCCACGTCCGAGCCAGCTACATGGCAGAAGAGGTCTGGAGTCCATGGGGCGAGTAGGGGAACTGTGGTCGGGGCCACTGATAGGTTCTTCCTCCAAGAGTTTAGGCCTTCATATTTGGTACATGCCACATCTAGTCCTTCCTGTTGAGGGAGGGTGTGGAAAGATGGACGCCAGGGTGGGGGTTGGTCTTCATGGAGCAAAGAGCCTACTGGGACATCAGGGCTCTACATGTAGTGGGTATGGCTGCTCCTGATGGCCCTGGACACAAGGCTCAGGGAGGCCAGCGATGGGGAGCCAGGGTCCCATGCTCTGTGAACTCAGGGTTCCCTGGTCTTTGTAGCGGATCGAGGGCCGAGTGGCAGCTCTTCAGACAGCAGCAGATGCCTTCTACAAGGCCAAGAATGAGTTTGCAGCCAAGGTTTGGCCCACTTTTCTCTAACAGTCTCTATCCCTCCCTTGCTGGTCCTCCCTCTTTGCACCTGTCATCATCACTTTCCTCATCTCCAGGCCACAGAGGATCAAATGCGCCTCCTCCGGCTGCAGCGGCGCCTGGAAGATGAACTAGGGGGCCAATTCCTAGACCTGTCTCTGCATGACACAGTCACCACGCTCATCCTTGGTGGCCACAACAAGCGCGCAGAGCAGCTGGCACGTGACTTCCGCATCCCTGACAAGAGGTAGTGGGGGCCTACGCTCTGTGTAAGTCCTCAGATAACATGCCTATCTTGCAGCACCTCCAAACCCAGCTTTCCTGCAGGCTCTGGTGGCTGAAGCTGACTGCCCTCGCCAATCTAGAAGACTGGGAGGAGTTGGAGAAGTTTTCTAAGAGCAAGAAATCACCCATTGGCTACCTGGTGAGACGGAATCTACTCTCCAGCCACCTACAGTGAGGGTAGGGTAGTCCTGGGGAGGGGTCAGGCAGGGAGCCAAGCAGGATGGCCCACTCGTGTACTGTTCAGCCATCCCATGTGGTTCACAGGTACTTCCTGTGTACACACATTCATGGGCAGACACAGTCCCCTGCTGGGTGCATTGGAGGCTGATCCACATCCTCCTCCAAATGAAGATGCCAAGCATCTCCCAAAGAAGGCCACAGGGCACTCAGTGTGCTCGGGGGAGTGTTCTGTTTGAGCCGGAACCGGAAAAGGCCTGAAAGGAGGCAGCTGTGAGGCTGTGCAAACTAGTGAAGGAATTTGCTTCCTGTGGCAGGTGGTCCTGAAGGTGGAGGGTAGGTTTGAAAATGGCAGTCATGAGAGAACACATAGGACTTGAGAGCACAGGTGGCAGAAACACCTGTCGTGTGGGAATATGGTGGATAGAGGGTAGAAGCTTGGGAAGAGCTGGTTTTGATGCGCTAACAGGTCTTCTGTGAAGGCTGTTTCTGCCGTGAGAGTGGTGAGCTTGTTGACATGCAGATGGGGGAGGAGGGCAGGAATCATACATCCTGACAGGTTCATAACATATATGTGGGTTGTGGGGTTTTTACCCACAAGACAGGAGATGGGAGGGCTGTGCCTTATCTTCTTCCTCCAACTCTTCCTTCCCTCTCCTGCCAAGCCTTTTGTGGAGATCTGCATGAAACAACACAACAAATATGAGGCCAAGAAGTATGCTGCCCGTGTGGGTCCCGAGCAGAAGGTTAAAGCCTTACTTCTCGTTGGGTGCGTCACCCGAGAGCCCTGTGGGTGGTAGGCAGCTGAGCCAGTGGGTTAGACCCCATCTGTGCTCTCAGGCAGTATGATGCAGTCTCCGCTCCTGCTCCAACCATAGGGACGTGGCCCAAGCCGCGGATGTGGCCATCGAGCACCGGAATGAGGCCGAGCTGAGCCTCGTGTTATCCCACTGCACTGGAGCCACCGATGGGGCCACAGCGGACAAGATTCAACGGGCCAGGGCACAAGCCCAGAAGAAGTGAGAAACCCTGCCTGCGCTTCACTCTGAGTGAGGGGCTCCTTTCCATGCCCTGCTGGGCTTGGTAAAAGAGTCACTATGCAGTAAAGAACTGATCTGGGCAAGCAGGAGGGCTGGTTGTAAATAAAGATGGGACACTTGAGGCTCTTCTCTTCTGTGACCCCACCTAAGCAGAAGCAAGCTTGAGGCAGAAACACCTAGGCACCATACCACACCTCCACGTGTGTGCATGGTGGAGCTGGAGGTGGGGGCTTCTTCAGCCATTCTCATGGAGACCCAATTCTCTGAAGTTCATTGCCCAGGGAGATTTGGGAGAGAAAAGGCACAAACTCCAGCTCTGACTTCCCATTAACCGCACTGAAAAGAATTACATGTGTACACATACACACACGTGTGCCATGCTAACCCCCTTACCCTTGTGACTTCATTTATTCTTCATGATAGCCCTGTGAGATAGGTAACATTGCTGCATTTGGTGTTAGGGCAGCTTGAGGCCCAGGTTGGTTGGTAACAGCAAACGGGTGGCAGAACTGGCATTTGAGCCCCAGGGGCCAGCTGCCCTAGCACCAGAGTGGGTGTATGAGCAGAGGAACCCTAGGCAAGGCTCTTGGTTGGATAGGACTAGTGGGAGGCCTGTGCCCGGTGTGGGTCAGAGGAGGGGCTTTGGGCTCCTTCCCCACTGGAGACCTGGTTCCCCTGGCCTCCTCTGCAGGGCCTTGTGGCCCTCTACCCTCCTTCTCCAGCCTGCCGTCCACACTCCCGTGGGCCGTGGCCTCATGCCCCTTACCTATACCCAACACAGGGGGCACTGCCTTTTCCTCATGTGGTCCCCTTTTGTCAGGGAGGAAACTGAAGCCCTGAGTGAGAGCAGACCTCCCCGGAGTGTCACACCCAAAAGGCCAACTGCTTTTAGAAAGGGAGATTGAGGACTCGGAAAGTGCTGCTTTTCCTATCCTTTTTCCCTGTGAAGATCCTCTAAGAGGTCATAAATCGAGCCTGGCACGATAGTGTAGCAGCTAAAGTTCTCACCTTGAATGTGCCAGGATCACATATAGGCACTGGTTCTAATCCCGGCGGCCCTGCTTCCCATCCAGCTCCCTGCCTGTGGCCTGGGAAAGCAGTCGAGGACAGCCCAAAGCCTTGGGACCCTGCACCCATGTGGGAGACCCTGAAGATCAGGCTCCAGGCTCCTGGCTTCAGACTGGCTCAGCTCCAGCCATTGCAGCCACTTGGGGAGTGAACCATCAGTCGGAAGATCTTACTCCCTGTCTCTCCTCTCTGTATATCTGCCTTTCCAATAAAAAAAATAAATCCTATAAATAAAAAGAGATTATAAAACAACCATTTGTTAACTCCATTTATTATGCAGGTGAAGAAACCAAACAGGACACAACAGGGATGGTTTGTGCTTACTGATGTCTATAGCATCAGCTGCAAAGCTCAGGGGTTGGGAATGACTTGAAAGCCAGGAGCTGAACCAGCTGAAGTCTTGCTTACATGGCGGGTGGTGGAGCTGACTGTTCATCACCTCTCAGCCAGAACACCCTCACAGCCCAGGGCCAGATCCCAGGGACAAGCAGCCCAAGAGGGAGGAAGCAGAATCTTCTGTTTCTCTGCTTCTTTTTTTCTTTCTAGATCTACTTATTTATCTGAAGACCAGTTAGAATCTTTCATCTGCTGGGTCACTCCCCAAATGGCTACAATGGCCCAGAGCCAAGCTGATCTGAAGCCAGGGGCCAGGAGCTGCTTCCATGTCTCCCATGCTGGTTCAGGGTCCCAAGGAATTGGGCCATCTGCCGCTGCTTCCCCATGCAATAAATAGGGAGCTGGAAGGGAAATGGAGCAGCTTGGACATGAGGTGGAAGACCCATAAGGGATCCTGTGCTTGGAGGTAGAAGACTAGCTAGTTGAGCCACCATGCTGAACCCAGGACTTTTTTTTTTTTTTTTCAAATTTTAACTGACCAATTGAAACTAGTGTCAGATGTGTACATTAGAGGATCCCGAGCAACCTTGGTACCTATAATGGTAGAACTGGGACTGGGGCCAGAATTACGGGGCTGGGGACAGGGAGCTCTTAGCAGTTCTCCTAGTTTGGGATGTCAGTGGTAGCACAGGGCCCAAGTCTCCTTGTCTCTCATTTGCTTCAACTTTCTTGCTGTATTTTCACTGCAGCACTTGGAAAGCTTTTTCTGCTCACTTATTGTCTCGCTCTCCATCTGTAATATCCAGGAACAGCAGAGGTATCTTCTTCGATGGGGAAGGAGGCCCCTGATGGGGAAGGGACTGCCTAAAGAAACCAGAGTCCTTGACCCCCATCCTCCAGCTCTGCTTCCAACCTAGGCCTTTGCTCACGGAACCTGTGACTGTTGGGGCACCTGTGGAGAAGGTGACAGGTGTGCCTACTTGTGTGTGCTCTCATGGGCCAGCACTAAAGCAGAGCTGGGACTGACTGTTGTGGGCTAAGGAGTTGATTAGTGCTCGTTGGGATGGGCAGGAACAGGAACTGGGTTTGTAGCTAAAAACACCTAGACTAATTGGACTCATCTGTATCCAATATCCTGGCTAAGTTAGGACTGGAGGAGGTGGGGGAAGAATATATAAGGAGAGGTGAAGGAGCAATAAAGAGAGACTGCACAGGACTTCCACCATCACTGGTCTCCTGTAGCTGCTTCATCCCCAGACCTTCTCCCTGTCCACGTAATTGGCTCTGCTCTGTTGGTCAGAGCATACAGCCCCCCACGGGTGGGCCCCCAGGCATAGAAAGCCTGGCTCCCCTCCTTGATTTTGGCGACAGAAGTCAGGAGCTCTGGACATTCCGAGAGGTAAGTTAGACTGGGGGTGCTGGGCAGGTCTTCACAAGCAGGTGGAGATGACGAATCTGTTCTCTCCCAATGGGAATGCGTGGTTGCAGAACTAACTTCCTAGGGTCTCTGGAGGTGAGAGGGGTCACCCAAGACCCGCCTCCCTTGTCAGAAGGCCTGTGCAGGCCCTGCAAACACACACACCCTCTGCTCCCCATCCCCCACCAATGCGCTGACCACAGTGCTGCTGTCTCCGGGGGAGAAGGAACTTGAATTTCCTGAGCATGGCTGGCTTGCCAAGCCATGTGTGCTTGTAGTTCTCCATCTAGTTCCAGCAAAGAGCGGCAGAGGGAGGCTCTGGTCACCCAGCCCATGGTGGGCTGGAAGCCCAGGGTTCTATGAGGACCACACCTGGGTGCAGCATTGCCCAAGGGTGCCCAGATGGAGCTGGGGTCCTTTAGTGGTCTGAAGGACTAACACACATTATAAGATTTATTTTGATTGTATCAGAATACAAGTAGCACATCAAATCCTTTCTCTTTTGTTAGTATAAACTACAAAAAGAAATTTGCTGGAGATTGGCTCAATTGTTAATCCTCTACTTGCAAGCGCCAGCATCCCATATGGACACCAGTTTGTGTCCCTGTCTGCTCCACTTCCCTGCTTGTGGCCTAGGAAAGCAGTAGAGGATGGCCCAAAGCCTTGGGACCCTGCATCCTCATGGGAGACCCAGAACAAGCTCCTGGCTCTTGGTTTCAGATTGGCTCAGCTGCAGCTGTTGTGGCCATTTGAGGAATGAACTAGAAGTTGGAAGATCCTTCTGTCTCTCTACTGTGTAAATCTGCCTTTCCAATAAAAATAAGTCTTTAAAAAAAAACCCAACAGAGAGTGTAGTAGGTTAGATGTGGATACAGTAACACTGAAAGTGGGGTTTGGTTACCCGGGTACCTGCTGCACCCACAGTCATTATTTGGGAAGAGGGGTTGGTATTTTGGGGCCAGGTTTTTCCCTTGGCCATTTTGTGTGCAGGAGTTGAAGGGGATGTGAACGTGAATGCTGGCCATGTTTATAAGGACTCTGGCCTTGCCGCAGGGGGCTTCACAGGACACCGGCCTGTGGCCTGTGTGCCGCTGGGCGGCAGTGTCCATCAGGCAGCCCTGCCTCTCACCTCCCTCCCCCACCTCTGGGCTGGCCCTGCGGGAGATCCACCGGGAGAACTCCAAGGAAAACTTCCCCATCAGGGAGAGGCAGCCCTTAGCCAGGCTGGCCGGGCCAGCATTCCCAGGCCTCCGTTTCCTGGGCAGAGGGTGGCAGAGGGTCCTCTGGAATCTGCCAGGACACAGGCCGGTGTTGGGGGATGCACGTGGGTGGACAGGGAGGAATGTTCTGCACCTGCCCCTTGGCAGATGCATCTCTGGGTTCCCGGTGCACTTTGATCCTGCCCTCCCCTGCGAAGCCTCCCGTAAAAGCACCTCCACAGAACACCACATGTTGCGCCCTAGTACGTGCATCTGCTGGGGGTGGGGAGAGATCCTCGAGGCCTGGGTGGGGATGGCGTGGGCTGGCTTGAAGTAAGGCTGGGACCTGTGGAGCCAGGCCTGTTTTAGGCGCCTGACAGGTTCCTATCTCCTAGCAAGATCCCTGGTCCTCAGAGTAACTTGCACCAATGAGGCTAAATGGGAATCACGTGTGGCGTGGGATGTGCAGTGCCAGACCACCCTCTGTCGCTGAACGCTGGTGTGGCTTGTGTAGGGCCTCAGTCTCCACATCTGTAAGTTGGGAAGAACGCCTATGTCTGGGGCCCGAGGAACCGTGGAGAAACCGGAGGCGTCCAGCAAGGTAGATCCGGGATCCAGCTTTTCAGACTGAGTGGGTGGCCGTGGGGGCGAACTGGCTGGAGGGCTTTGGGCGAGCTGGGAGGACTGGACTCCGCGCCCCACGGCCCGGCGCGCAAGGGTGGGGCGCGCGAGGCCCGGAGACACCCGCTCGGCGTCGGCCAACCAGCGCCTGCCTCTGAACGGCCAATGAGAGCGCGCCTTACAGCCCAGGCCGCGTCGGGAGCGAGGCTGCGGCGAGTGCGGCGCTGACAGGGACGCGCGCGCGCACGCGATCAAGCTCGGACCCCGGGCCGCCGCCGCCGCCATCACCGCCGCCCGCCCAGTCGCCCCTCAGCCGCTTCCCCTCGCCATGGAGGCGAGGCCGCCGCCGCCGCCGCGGGACTGCCAGCCGCGGGCCGGGCGGCGGCCCTGAGGGCGAGTGGCGGGCCGAGACGCCGCGGCGGAACCGAGGCGGAGCCGCCGTCCCCCCAGTCCCCAGCGGTCCCGCCCAGCGCCGGGCTCGGTGAGTGCTCGCGGCCGCCGCCCGGGGTGGGCTCCGGAAGGCGCGGGGCGGCTCCGGGGCGCGGTGGGAGGGGTCCTCAGCCGGATCCCTCTTTCCCAGGTGGATTCGCTTGGGCTCGGTGCCGTCGGGTCGCGCATCCTTGCGGGGTCCGCAGGGGGGAGGGGTCCCCGGAAACGTGCGGGACTGGGCGACCACCCGTCTCGACTGCCCGGGAAGTTTGCGTGTGTCCTTCTGGGGCCAGGCCGGGGCGCTGCGTGGTTGATTCTGAAAGGACCGAATGGAACGGTGAGATTAGAATTGCTCCGTTCCAATTAATGGGAGGAAGAAACTCCCGGTTTGGAGAAAATTCACACTTGGCGGTGGCCAACTTTTCTTTTCCTTGAAATGCTCCCCGATCTCCTGCGGGTCCCCGAGTCCGCTCCCTTTTGCAGCCCATTCCCAACTGTTGAAGCGTCTCAGAAGGGATACAGGTCGGCTCAGAGCTGCCCAGAATGCACAAATAAGCGATTTGGGCACGCAGGCCTTTAAAAAATGCTCAGTAAATTAAAAATTAAAAATTAAAAAAAAAAACTTAAATCAGTTCCCAGTTGCATTTCCTAAAAACGAAAATAATAAGGGCAGAGCTGAGCCCCGTGTTGAGGGTATTTTATTTTTTAGGAGATGAGTGATTTTTCTGGGGCGGGAAAAGCAGAATGTTCAAGACCATCGTAGGAGGGTGCTGCTTCTGAAGCCAGGCCCCCATAGGATGGGGATTGCACATCTCCCTGGAGAGTGCTCTGGCTTGCCACCTGCTAGCTTGTTGAGGCAGTCCAGGATCCAGAAGATGGTGGGTGAGAGGAGGATTGACTGGGAAAGGGCCAGAGCATCTTCCTGCCTGGCCACTCCTTTCAAAAACACAGGTCTGATGCTGTCACTTGTTTACTTAAACTCCCTCGCCTTCCTTTTCCCATGGGATGTGTGGAGGCCACAACGCCCTATCTGGTCGTGCAGACTGGCTTGCCTCTACTTACCCCTTTCCTCGTGGTGTCCTCCTTCAGTCCTCCTTCCCGACATCCCTACATTTGGCCTGTTCCTCTGAGCACCTTTGCCTGCCAGGCTCCGTCACTTCTTTGAGAAGCTGCCTGGGGGACTCAGAGAATTCCTCCCAGTTGGACGGCCTGCTTGGGATGTGTTCTAAACCTTTCCGGGTCTCAGATTCCCTGTCTCCACCTTTCCATGCCACCTGTAAGTAGTCAGCAGGAACTGGTAGGTGTCATGTCCTACTGGCCTGACACCTGCTTTGCTGTCCCTGAAAGACCGTGTCCTCTGCCTGACCAGGGTGGCTTGGCTGAGGGGTGCGCTTAATAAGGCCTGTGGGAGTCAGGAGACTGCTAGCTGGGCGCCTCGGAGCCGCTCGCTTCCTGTCTCGGTGAAATTGGAGCCAGGAGCGCCAGCCTGCAGAAGTCCATTTCCGCATCTCCCATTTGCCAGGCCCAGTGCTTGGGGTCCAAAATGCAAGGGAGGAGGTGGTATCCTCGCCTTTGAGGGGCTCACAGGGTAATGCTGCCAGGGAGATAGGAACAATTACACCTTGCAGGGACTGTGGGAGCGTAATAATAATAGCTCTTGTCTTATATTGTCCTGCGACAGGCTGCTTAATAAATATTTTCTGATAATTTTCTCACTTCATCTTTTCAGTGGTCCTGTAGGGGCTTACACCTCCTCTGTAGGGCTGGAAATGGAGGCCACAGGGTGGGCAACCAAGGAAGAGTGAGGATTTGAATCCTGGCAGTCTGTTTCCAGAACCTTTGCCAGGCTCTACCCTCCCTGGGTGGTAACCAGCAAGCCTCGGAAGAAGGGAGGGAACAGCGCAGACAGGCTGGAGATAGAGGAGCCCACTGCTGTTGGGAAGCAGGGCAGACAGAGGTTGAACAGAACCCGATTGGGTAGGGGTGGGGGTGTGGGAGAGGAGGGCAGTGTGTGCTGTGCTGGCGTTGGGCAGTGGAGAGCCACTAGAGGATTTCATGGAGGTCGGGGGACTGCAGCTGGCTGGGCTTTGGAAAGGTTACCAAATCCCCCCAAAGTAGGATGGGATCCTTTTAAACCCTGAGGAGAATGTAGAGGGAATCCTATTCAGTGAGGGGAAAAGACCATAAACGGATTTGGGAGAAAAATGTCCAAAATGCAAAGGAAGTAGATCTCCCTCCCTTCCCTAGCCCCGGGACTGCCGGAACTCCCAGCTCACCAACCTCCTCCTGAGGCATGGCTGAAGTTTCTGGTTTCTGTGACCTTACAGTGACACTGTTTCTTTATCAACATGTGCCTACCTGTCCTTCCTCCTCTCACCATGGCGCATACCAGTCACCCATTATTCTTCTTAGCCTGTTAGAGACATGAGTCCTTATTAGTCTGTGTGTAATTCATTCTTACATGTTGACATTCTCTTACTTGTTTCAGTCATTTGTATCTAGTCTTCAGGTTGAATAACATATAACTTGTTTCTGGGTTCTCTCCTTTACAGCGATACAGTGAATATCCTTGTACGTACTTTGTTACCTGGCCATGTATAAAGTTATCTGAGCAGTGTAGCTTTGGAAGTGGGATCCCTGGGGTAAAGGATAGGTGTAAAATATATAGTCCAGTTACCCACCCCTTCAAGAAGGATGTACCAATTTTAAAAATTTTATTTTTAAATGTTTGTTACTTAAGTTAGTCTGTGCAGGTCTGTGAGTAGGATGGAGAGGGATGGGTGGGAAGAAGGTCAGGGAGAGAAGAGACCCCGCCCTTCCTCCTGTGACCTGTAACTGCACAGGGTGGAGGGGAGATACTTTGCTGCTCCTTGCTGCCAGATCACATCAGTGCCAGGGGACAAGAGATAGTTCCCTGATGTTGGCCCAGGGGTACTGATGGGGGAAGGGAGTAAGGATAATGTTCTGAGAGTGTTACTTGAGTAGTCTTGATTTTCTCTTTAAAAATACATATATATGTATTTGTAGGGCAGAGTTACAGGGATTGGAGAGGGAGGGAAAGAGATCTTTGATCCATTGGCTCACTGCAAATGGTTGCAACAGCTGTGGGTAGGTCAGGCTGAATTCAGGATTCTGGATTGCCGTCTGAGTTTCCCACGTGAGTGGCAAGGTCCCTGATCCTAGTGCATCTTCTGATGCACTCCTAGGCACATTAGCAGGAACTTGGTGAGGAAGTGGAGCAGCCAGACCTGGAGTCAGTGCTCATATAGTTGACCAGCATCTCAGCTAGCAGCTTAACTTGCTGTACCACGACACTAACCAGCCCAGATTGTACAAATTTGTCCTCTCGTCTAAAATGTGTCACTCAATGGATTTTCCTCAGAGAGTTCAAGAAGATCTGGAATGCTTTTCCAGTTTGTATGTGTCGACTTTTCCCCAGGCCTCTCCCACTTGACAGGGAGATGTTGAGCCCAGAAGGATTAGAGTGACTTGTGCAAGATGACCACTGTGGGTGGTAATGGGTTAGTTTTTTACAACTCTGATATTTATATTTGCCCAACACCTTTCACAGGAAGTGCTCGGCGACGATTTGTAAACATTGTTGTGTTATTTTCTCCATCTTCATGTGGAAAAAATGAGATTCAGTGGAGTTTGAATTCTAAGCAGGAAGCTGGCCAAATATAGAATCTTGTCTTTTTATATCGAGTGCAGTAACTAATAAATGTTTCCAAATGCCAAAGCTGAAGAAATATTATTTTTAGTGAATCCTAGTGCAACAAAAATAACAGTAATACAGCACTAGCTTAATGAAATGAAACAGCAAAAATCCAATGTTAATATTTATTCTAATGTGTTCTCTATAGAAAAGAAATACATTAAATGTATAACTTATTTTAATTTACATTCATTTGTGTCAGTCTTGCAGACTTCTGTAGTTTCTCAGTATGTACAGAATGTGATTCAGAGGTTTTGAAAAGCATAACATTTCTGTTTATTCACCTGTGTGTTTTTGTTATTTTAAGTTGCAATATATATTGCATGCATTGACACCCATCATTTGTGTAGTATTTTTTTATTCTTTCCTGATAAAAATGGTATTTTGGGGCCTGGTATGGTGGCTCAATGGCTAAATCCTCACCTTGCAAGTACCAAGATCCCATATGGGCTGCACTTCCCATTGAGATCCCTGCTTGTGGCCTGTGAAAGCAGGGATGGCCCAAAGCCTTGGGATCCTGAAGTCATTTACGAGACCTGGAGAAAGCTCCTGCTTTCCTATCGGTTCAGCTCTGGCCATTGTGGCCATTTGGGGAGTGAACCAGCGGATGGAAGCTCTCTTCTCTTCTCTTCTCTTGTCTCTCCTTTGTCTAATTCTGATCTGCCTTTCCAGTAAAATAAATAAGTCTTTTGTTGTTGTTGTTGTTTAAAAAGGGGATAATTTTATAAACCCGATCATCCTTTTTCAGCTGCTTCTTTCTTTGGGATTGCCTTGGCCTCGTACCCTTAGTGTGGTCTCACTGAGTCAGAGGATGCTGTTCCAGTGCCAAATTATTATCTGGAGAGGTGGAACTGCTTTATGACACCATTAGAGTTTGTGGGAGCCTAATTCCTGACAAGCCAGCCAGTGCTATTTAAGTAAAACCTAATACTTCAGTAACACTGCATCTCTCTTAAATTAATAATTTACATTTCTTCAGAAAATCACTGGTAGCTCATTTAGACTTTCAGATTCAGTGCTATTCAAGAGTGATATCACAAAAGCCAACTTGTGGTGTGGTTGATGATAGAAATAGTGTGGAAGTTTAGAATGGGATCACAATAGTGTGGGTTGGAGGACTGGATGCGATTCAGCTAAATGTATCGGGCTGTGTGCCAGGAACTGAGATACCCCAGAGGAGGATGTGATGTCTGTCCTCAGGGGACTTGGGGTTCGTGCAGCAGACAGACATTAATCACCTTATGGTAATTACAGATCCGATGGATGTGATCAGAAGAAAAGAATGGGGTGTCTTGGGAACACCAGACAAGTTCAGCAGTTAAACAACACTTGCAAAG